ACGGAAGGTGGGAGTCAGGACTCCTTTGAGGATGACGTGTTTGAAAGTTGATTTGTGTTGAGAAGCCATTTTGAAGACACTTTTTGACACCTCTGAATTGTAGTCATATTTTGCTTTGAGATCTGTTCCCGTTGTTCTGTTCATGTTTTCTCAATCAAATCTTTGCATAATTTATTTCAATAAACTTTCATAGACTCAGGTGCAAATTGTGGGACATTACCAGTAGTCGAAACTTGCGTAACTCCTTGTTTCCTGACAGGAGCTGTTCTTCGTGAAGATAAAAATGCTGGCATTGTCCATGGTGCCGGTCCGGTCTGAGCCAAAACTAGGAACGGCAAGTTGGCCATCACTACAATAGCACTTATTCCGAAGAATAATCGCGACCACTGAAAAAGGAGACGTTTGATGGTTAAAGAGGGGTTTGTTGTGATTTACCTGTTCACGAGTGTTATCTGGACAAATCAAAGTGACAACGAAAGGCAGAAGTAATGTTATGACACAAGCGTCACATGAGACTACTGCCATCACAAAATGAGTGTGCTGGCGAGCTCTCTGAAAGTGATATGCACTTTCTGGCTACAAGGTTATACCGGTGTGTAGTGAATTTGGGATTCAAAATCTTGACTTCTTCCATCTAACACTTCCTTTCCTGACTTGTTACTTACCAACTGGGCGCATTTGACTGATCCAACAACATTGAAACCACTAAACACTATAGCAGCTGTGTATGCAATTTGAGCGACACTTGCAGATGTCGTCTGGAAGATTATGTTTGATGTGAAAAGAATTTCCCATAATAATTTCGTTATGTTGGAAGCGAGGAGAAGTTATGCTTCAATTTGGAGAGTGCATTAATGAAATGATGCAGTTAGCTGAGCAATCGTTGGTTTTCCTATTTATGCTAGGATTCAAATTTTCTTCACTCTTATAATTATTTCTGGTTATGGTAGACAAGTCTGTTGCCTTATCTCAACGCTTCCTATATATTTTCACTCTTTCAAATAGGCGAAAGTCGAATAATGCATTTACCATGTAGAAGTTTAACAGTTTTGAATTCCTTTTCTGCGTTTATTTTGAATTGTAGATTTGCATAACAATAGTATTTCCGCAAATCCACGATAGAAATGCGCAAGCTAGGACAGCTTTAGCTTACATTGTGCATTCAGGTCTTTGAGCATTAATTAAGAGATCGAAGCTACTAGGAGGGAAGTTCCGTAATTGCTATCAAAGGGTCGCCGCAGGTTTGAACGCAGACTGGAAATGAGAGCTTGGAGTCGCACTGAGT